CCCAACTACCAATAATATCGAGGGGGGCAATAACTCCGGGAATCATGTGTACACGTGCCTTGGAATCATCAGGATAAAAATTAATCGAAATCAACAGAAATCGCTTTAACTAAAAGGGAAACTAGTGGAACTCATACAAATTAGTCGAAATAACCGTTTTCTACCACTAGAAAATCTAAAGAATAAATATAAGCGGACGGGAATCACTGGGAATCAAGTATTTCGGGAATCGTGTGTACACATCGAAAGGGAGTTATTGCCCCCTCGAATAATATCTTATAGAAATATGGTAAGTGATGGATCGTTTTTGTCAGGTATCTTTTCTCGTTTGCAGCCCATGGGAGTGCGTGGAGGGGCGGTGCGTGGGCGGCGCTGAGGTCGCCGCCAGCCAGCTCCTGCAGCCCGTGCCCCTGCACCAGGCCAGTCAGGCCGCCTGCCGCCTGCACTGCGGCCAGCACGGCGCCCTGTGGCCGCGGCCCACCGGGCCCACCACCATCGGGTGAGTACCTACATGGTGCGGGCAGCTCACAAGTACATGGTGAGCTGCTCACCACCATCGGCTGAGTTTATGGGCTGCTCAGCTCACCCCAGCTCACCCCAGCTCACCCCAGCTCACCCCGCAGGCAGAGTTTTGTAGCATGTATGTAGCCAGTTTTTGCGGGGTACTGAAGAACAAATGAATACGAGCTGAGCTGATTAAACTGTGCTCGACTTTGGCCTGAAAGTAGTTGGGGGGCTGATTTTATGCTTTCCATGACTAAATTGGTGGGCGCCGACCGTATCGAGTACCGTCAAAGGAAAAGGCTCCCAGTAGAGTGCATCGATGATTTTAATAAAAATGTTACACTGGAAATTAAATAATTAAAAGTTTGCAACATAAAACTAGAGGGTGGCCCACATACCTCGGAAGGTTTCGTCGCTATACTGTATGGGTCGTAAGGCTTCTTGGTGAGAGACGGTCGGAAAGCCCGCCGGCAGCTGCATACGGTACAGTTATCTACGAAATCATCCGGGGTAGGGGTATGTGGTGCATCCTGTAAATCACACAAAACCTTGCACCAACATTAACTTACACTGCTTACGTTTCACAAAATACCGAACTCAGCACGAAACACTAACTCAACTAAACTTAAAATTCAATAGCTCAGAACGGGGCGCGGGTCAGCAATACAAAAAGAAAAACCGCGCAACCATCTGTGTTTGTCTGTGTTCGGCACTCTCAAGGACGAGTCGCACTTCCTTATATTGATAATTATGAAATGAACATTAGAAGCGCCAATAACATTGAAGAAATGTGTGGCAACAGAGCCAGATGAGGTTGAAGTTGAAAACCGCTGCGCTAGCCACAGGTGCTGGAGAAGATGAGGCCTTAGGTACTGGAGCCGGTGGTGAGGTTGCAGGCACTGGAACAGGTGAGGCTGAAGCCACAGTTGCTGGAGTGTGCGGGTGAAGCCACCGGTAGAGCGTATTGAAGGACGACCTCGACCCAGAAACTCCACCCTGTGAGGGTGAACCAGCCGCTACCAACTCGACCCTGGAGGGGGAGTCGGTACGAACCCCCAGCTGGTTGCATTTGCATCCGCACTGCAACATGGTGAAGACGCATTTGGCGTCACAGCCGACTGTGGTGCAGTTCCTTCGGCAGGACTCCATTTCGCTCTGAACGCCGGGGCATTGCTCCTCCAGACACGACTTCACTTGGCCGGCCCGGTTCATCCGGCGGTCGACGCGGTAGCCGTCGCACAAGCAGTGGCAGTTCCATTCGCATTTTTCTCGGCAAATCCAGTCGCCGTCGGCACACCCGCAGGTTGGTGTTGTGCACTGAAACAAGCGCAGCACAGCGGTGTCAGGTGCAAGCAGGGCCACTGCAAGAGCGAGTGTGGCGAGCGAGTGAGCACTGAAAACCTTTGAGTGAGGTGTCGTGCTCGAAATTAGTGAGACAATTTCGCCTCGCTCAGACAGAAGGCTCACCCTATTTGAGTCATATGCACCGAATTCTCACTCTGGAGGAGTAAGATTTTCCTCCCTAACCTCGCCCAATAATTGCAGAGAGAAACCTCACTCTCATTGGGTGAGGACCGCAAATTATGACTCAAATTGGGTGAGAGTCAGATATCTCGCTCTTTTTTTTCAGTGAGTGGTGAGGGAATCCCCCTGTTCGCCTGTATCGTATGTTTGTTCCTCTGCACTGCAGGCGGGTTTGCCTACTACCTTAGCCCCTGTGGATAGGCAACCCCCTTCCCCCCGCAGCGGTGCGTTGCGTGCGTGCTCTGTAACTCCCAGCACGCGCCTTGTAGCAGTGGCAGTGCCTCACCCTCGACTGGGGGACCCACCTCGAGACCCTCGAAGCATTTCTTGAACTTCATAAAGCCCTCCTCGAAAGAGAGGTACGAGCGCCGGCGGCGGGTGTTGCGGTTGGACGCCGGCGGCGGGGGGAGGTCCGGGAGGGTGGCGTCGTCGTCGACCGTCCTCATCATCCTCGCGGCCGCCTCCGCGGGGGAGCACGGCCCCGGATAAAGCTCGGACAGACCTGCAAAACAGTCGATCCATGAGTGTTGCCTTTCCCTCCCTCGCAGCGGAGCGATGCGGTATAGCTGTTGCAGCGCAGAGCAATATAAGATATGTAACAGCAAAACCAACAGCTAAAACACGCGATAACCTATTATTATTTAGCTGTGCCCCAAAAAATTTAGCTACGTCGCAAAAAACAACAGCTATTAAGGTAAAAATTTAGCCATGTAGCTCAACATGGCTAAATTATTAGCTGCATTATCCCGTGCATAGCTATTTACTGGTGTAGCTATTTACGAATAACCTTCATTTTTTTCGTGATGTATAGTTACTGACCGGGCTGGTGGGCGCAGCCCAGGTGGCACGAGCTTTCGTACGTCTGGAGGTTCGACCCGCACACCTCGGCCGAGGCGGGTGCGGGTGGGCACGACGGGCACTCCGCGAGCGCGGGCTGCACCGGCGCCAGCAGTAGGAGCACCGCGGACGTGGCCATCGAGAGCGAAATCATCTTGAGCACTGCGGATAGTTAAGGGTTACAGCGCACTTTTTCCTCCAGCACTACAGGGTGGTCCACACCCAGGAAATGGTAGTCTTGAAATGAAACAAGGCAAAATGCGTTGCTTCAACGCTATTTTTACCTCAAAAAAATACAAGGAAAATTGTCTTTAACTTAAGGCAAATGACATTAAAATGAAGTAAAAATTTCCTTACACCAACTTAATTTCCTTGAAGTTAATGGCCAAACCTTAAACCAAGGTCGAAAATTACCTTGTATTTTTTTTTTTTTTTTTTTT